TGGTGGGCAGAGCACAGATAGCCCATTGTATATCTTTGTGCTTAATTACAAACAAACAATAGTTATGAATTGGTAATTGTTATATTATTGCGTCATGTTATTAGAACATTCTGAGTTTTTCTCATTGTTTTATTTGATTATTATTGCATCATAATATCTGGTATGTGTGGAATGTTCTAGATCTCTGTCGGAGTATAAATACGCGTCGAAAATGTAGTTCGAAAGATAGATTTTAGACTGAGTGATTGTAAGTTTAGCCATAATAGTATATAGTGGTGATTTTTAAAGTGAAATGATCACATACTGTATTGTAATAATAGAGTAGAGAGGAATAATTCATCTTGCCAATTGTTTTCCAAAGTAACCGAACTAGCCTGGGTGGACTTTGACAAAAAATAGACAGTTATTTAAAGCTCTGAATACATCTGTGATAACCAACAGTGTAACGAACGTTTGTATATAGTTTTATTTATTTCAAAATAAGTAGACCGTGTGCTGTTTGTTTATTGTAGAAAGCTATCGCCAACAAGTCACAGACACCTACTGTAAAGAATCAGGCCCATATAAAAAACCTAACATATACTGATTGTACATGGTTTTCCCAGGCATCATACTGTATAACTGTCTATGTCAGGAGGGCGGAGATAAACATGTATGTTTATTAGAATAATAAAAGTAGGTCTCGTCAGTGCAAAAAAAAAAAAAACGGAATAGGGTGAAGTGCTGTAAAAGTCGAGAATGAGTGAGGGAGAATTGACTTATTGTTTCAGATATTGGCACAGACTTACTCAAGAGCCAATTGCACTAGTCTTTCCTAATCAACTTTTATGGTTTATTTAATTGAATAGGGAATTTGACAGTCACTATCATAATGCATCCACAGCGTCAAAGTGATTAGCGCGATTTTTTATTTACTAAGGAGGAAGAAATTCATAAATGTTTATTCTGAAAAGATATGACAAGATTTTATCTGTTGAAAGTTACTTCTCTGACATATCTTTATTTATGTGTGTGGAGTATCCAAAGAAAGTTATTAGGTCGTAAAAACATTAGTGTTGCGTTTTGGATCACTTTAATTAACCACCCCCAAAAAACGTACATCACGTATAATAGTTAAACAAACCGCCTAAACGTCACGTTGGTGTAGCCTATATAATGTGTAAAGTTTAGTATTGTTTTGTTTGTTTGTTTTTTAATTTTGCACAAAGTTACACTAGGGCTATCTGCGCTAGCCGTCCCTAATTTAACAGTGTAAGACTAGAGGGAAGGCAGCTAGTCATCACCACCCACCGCCAACTCTTGGGCAAATCTTTTACCAACGAATAACGGGATTGACAGTCACATTATAACGCCCCCACGGTTGAAAGGACGGGTATGTTTGGTGTGACGGGGATTCGAACCCGCGACCCTCAGATTGCGAGTCGAGTGCCGTAACCACCTGGCCATGCCGGGCCGAACTTTAACGTAACAGACATAAAATCATTGCTACAATGCAGTTTAAAGACTATATATATTTAACGTAACAGACATAAAATCATTGCTGCAATGCAGTTTAAAGACTATATATATTTAACGTAACAGACATAAAATCATTGCTGCAATGCAGTTTAAAGACTAT